ACGCTCCCAAAAATCACCCCACCATGGGCACCTTCGACAATAAACTTCCACTCAATTCCTTGCTTTTCTAAGTATTGTAGAAATTCGTCATTTTTACACAATTTGAATAGATATTTAATTTCACGATCAGCAGCTTTAAAAGTTTTGGCATTATCTGAATATATTATTTTACTAATGCCCCTGCGTCCAAAAAACCTTCTAAAAGCCTGAATAAAACTTTCAACTTTTAAACTAGACACTAACTCTGAGTTACAGCACATGTAAACAATGCAATGTAACACTTAGAACCATCCCTTAAATAAAGGGGTCCTGCAAAATCGATGCCTGTTATATTAAACGGTGGAGATTTTTCGATTCTGTCAACAGGTAGATTACATGTTACTTGCTTACCAGAAGTAACACTAAATCTTCTACAAATTTTACATCGATATGTAATCAGATTTCACGAATTCCTTTCACTATCCAAAATTTACTTCTTATTAGCAATAAGGTGTCATTTACACCAGCATGCAAAACCCTTTCATGACAATCCTTAATAATTAAAACAACAAAATAATCATTATTAGGTAATATTATTGGACACTTTTCACTAACATCTAATGAGGAATTAACTAAATGACTTTTAATTCTCAGAATCTTATTTTCATCAAGTTTGGGATTCAACTGAAATAGTTTAGAATTAGAATCGATTTCTAAATTATTTTTTAAACAATTAATTTCATTCGCATAGTATTTACATTGAACAGTTCTTATCCAATAATTATTTGATTCACTTACTTCAGTACTCGTAATTGCCCCATTTTGTTTTACACAAGATCTTAAATTCTTAATGAATCTAAAAATATAGGATGTTACAAGCAATATTTTACATGAAGTTATAAAGTTCTCAACTTTGAGCACAGGATCTGGATCAGCACTTGCAATAAAATAAGTATTTCAGTTTGGACATCGTCAGTCATTAAAAACTGACTATCATCAGTGGCAATCATTCTGGTTCCGATAACAGCAGCCATCAATTCTAGTTTAGGAAGAGACAATTATTTTAATGGAGAAACGCGACTTTCAGCTATCACTAACTGTGATGATCTAGATGTTGAAGTGGCAGATATCAAATAAACTGTAGCTTCATAAGCACTTTTGATTGCAACAAATAAAGCAGTGTAATTCATCACGAGATGGATCCAAAACTCTATTTAGCCACCTAGGAACCACAATTTGTTCTAAAAAAAGAAGTTACTCGTACCATTCTTGCCAATTTTTATCGATTTCAGGAGGTACAGTATCGTCTTAATCAATTTTCAATAGCTAAAGTTTTTGGAACATGATTTTGACTTGGATCATCAATGAGGACAGCCATCCGAAAAGATCGAAAATTCTTGAAGTAGCTTGCAATAAAGTTCGTTTTATACGAGGGTTAGAAATTATAAAATTAAAAATTTCTCCAGTTTTAAAATTAAAACAGTCATTCGACAAGTCCCACTTCAATCCAAGAACTTTTACTTCTTCGGTTCCATCAGCTTGAACTTCTGAGCCATATATTTTGTTGTTCAAAATTCTTCAGTTGGATTTCCACTTCACGAGGTTCATGGAGACCTGCTTAAATATTAGGGTTGCTGTACTTGCGATGCTTCCTCTACAGAATTCGTTGAATACACAACATCATCAACATGCATGCAAGAATTTAACAGCTTAGTAGTCATGGGATAAATATTTCGAAATTTCTTCAAGTGATGACGTATAGTTGCTGCTAGTAAAAAGGGGCTTGATGTTGCTCCAAACATCACACGAGTCATTCTGTAAATTTCAAATTTTGTATTGGGAAACTTACGAGTCTTCTGAAATCTCAAGGCATCACGATCTTCTGGTGAAATTGAAATTTGTAAAAAAGCCTTTTGAATGTCGGCAATTGCAGCAATTTCACCTTTACGATAATTCAATAAAGCTATCAGTAAATCAGGAACTAAGTTGGGTCCTTGCAATAAACAATCATTGAAAGAATGATGACCTTTTTCTCTGTATGAAGTATCATAGACTACACGCAGTTTTGTTGTGGAATGATCTTCTCTAATTACAGCCCGTTGAGGAACGTAATAAGTTTTCTTTTGAGTTAAAAGCATTCTTTTCTGTTTTTTCTATTATTCTTTCCTTCAGTTGTTCATTCATTACGTTTTTATACTGTTCGAAAAAATAAGGATTGGGCGTAAATCTCTTGATCAATTTTTTCATTCGGTTTTCAGCATTATGAAAATTATCATGTAAATCAACTATATCATTCTTCCATGGAAGGTTTACTTCATAACGGTCATCTCTTATGCGAATAGATTGTTCAAATAAAGAAAGTGCTTTTATATCATCTTCTTTTTCATCCTAAGCCGGTGCTATTCCTAACGATTCTATTTCCCAGAAAGATTTAATATTATTAGATGGCTCATCTAAATATAAATTTGAACTAACAGTCATTGATCGTAAATCAGATCTCATAACGGAATCTTGAATACACCATCCTAATCTAGGCTCTACAGCAGTGGTTTCCAACTGGCGGCCCACGGACCTTATCCGGCCCGCGAACTAAAATATATTATTTGTCATTTTTTGCGGACAATTTTCGTAGAAAATCTATATGGGTTTTATATACTTTTAAGTTTTGCGTCTTAACAATTTGATATCTGTTTCACATTAATTATTTGATACATAGGTGCACATTAAAGTTATTGTAGCCAGAATTTCTTAATATGCAATTGAATATTTTTAAAAATCTACTTCTTATTTAAATTTGTAATTCAAGACTTTTGTTTTGTACAGCCTATTAAAAATCTGACAGTAATATTTAACGTTCCTTCAAACATAAAAAAAAGAGTCCTATATAAAATTTTGATAAAGTTGCGGCCCGCCATTTGACTGGTGTTTTTAATTGCGGCCCCCGACCTCATGTAAGTTGGAAACCCCTGCTCTACTGCAACTAATGCTTCAGTTATTCGTTCGATTTTTCCAGTAAACATCACTTCCAATAGCACTGAAATTTCATTTGCGTTATACAGTTGGTGATCACATCATTTTAATTTCATGACCAAACATTTTAATTTCAGCAGCAGCAATCACGGGATACTCAATAGCTTCAACAATAACAAACTTATCAGGATTAATTAGATCAACAAGTTTCAATTTCCTTCTACGACTACTTACACTCTTACTAGATCCAAATTTTTGAATATTAAAATCAATTTTTCCTGTAACAGGCAAATTTAACTTTTTCGATAACTTCTCACTTATAAAAGATGTTTGGCTACCTCCGTCAAGCAAACATCTAACTAAACATTCAGCCTTGTTCACAGTAACAGCGTTAACAGTTTGTAAAATTGCATTTGAATTCTGTTTCACAGAGTTTTGCACAACATGAGATCCATTATTTTTATTTACGAGCAATTCTTTATCATTTTTCAGGCTGTTTTATACAAACAGAATAATGATGCTTTTGTTTACAGTGAAAACAAGCAAGATTTCTTTTCATGCAATCCGAAGAAATAGATAAATGTCCTTTTCGAAAGCAACTGAAGCATCTACCACTTTTCATTAAAATTTGTCTTTTCTTATAAATATATTAAATTCATTAAATTTAAATTTATCGTGATTCTTAGAACAAAAAATACATTTCAAATTCAATGTTGTTAAAGCAAAGGCGCTTACCTTTGGTTTTCTTTAATTCCAAGATTTTTCTTCTACTTTCGATTTTAGAGTGAATTTAAAATTTTCGTTAAGATTTTCTTTTCTTAAATTTTTTGAGAGTAATTTCGTTTCTAATAAATTTTAACAATTCCTCAACATTCCAAGTAGAATCCTTCGTTCTTTGTCGGTTAAAATCCAAAATTATATCTTCAGGAATCAGCTTCATCAATATTGGACACTGGACAGAGTCGATTTCCATAGGTTTCAGACATCACGTTTAAAGACTTTAAACTTCGTATTTCAATTTCAATGCTATCGTAAAGTTTCCTCAGCGCATCAACATCGCTAGAAACCTTTACTGCAGTTAAATTTGACAGTTCGTTCATGTGAGCATTAATAATTATGTCACTTCTTCCATAGCGATCTTGTAAAATATCAATGGCTGCAAGATAATTAGAATCACAAACCGAAAGTCCATTCACAGCTCTTGCCGCAGTTCCGCCAAGATATAACTTTAAATACATAAACTTATTGACAGTTTTCAAAGTCTTATTTTCGCGAATAGTCGATTAAAATTGTTCCCAGATGTTATACCATAGTTTAACATCACCGTAGAATTTTTCGATATTAATGTTCGGTAATTTTACGTGAACATTTTGAAATTCATCAGTAATAATTTCGATTGAAATACTTTCGTTATCGTTCTTACGGTTTTCCATATCCAACTTGGCATTCGACGAAGATAAAATTCGTTTTTAAAACAATAATCTTATCAGAATATTCTTCCGATTGTTCGTATTCCTTTTCAATTTCGTCAACTTCAATCAAATCTTCAATTTTCAAATCCAGTTCCTTCAATAAAGATTCCTTTTCAATAAGTTTACCCAGTATTTCATTTAAAATTTCAATGTTCGGAATTTCATTTTTTATTTCATTTTCGATTTCGCCGAACAATCTGGTCGTCGATGCTCTGACAGCACCTCGTTTCCGCTTCCGTTTTGAAAGTTCAGTAGACATTTTCGAATTCAGAACAAATTAATCGAATAAAGAAATAATTTCAATATGAAGTTCGAAATCAAATTCAAACGAACCCCTCTTCAGTAATAAATATTTTCAATCATCTTCTTGGGGTTTTCGGCACCATGTAAAAAAAAGAGTCAGAGAGGTAAGGGACTCATATTCTTTTAATAACAACAAAACAAAAAGTAAACATTAGAATAGCCAAAACAAAAGAGTAGGCAACGCCACCTATTAATTCAAATCATAAATTTTCTACACTATGTAAGACCTTTATGAATTCACTGCAGTTTTCAATATTTTCGCTTTCTTTTTTTTAGATTGCTTAAACAATGCACCTGTATAAAATTTTCATATTGCTTCTGATAGTTGGAATTGCTGCATCTAAAAAGGTAACTTTGTTTATTCAATACTCATGTTCGGAGAGTACTTCTTAAAAAAAAATAATAATAACATACAAAACTTTAAATGATTTATATCTAGCTTAGAGCTTTACAAGTATCATTTAACGAATCTCTTTAACTGTAATTCCTAACAGTATATTAACGCAATTTTCACCATAAAGTAATAATTGTAAAACGGTCAATAAGATAAAATACCGATTTAAATACCTTAAAATGTAACGTAGAATTGCGTTATTCTAATAATAATAGTAAAAATAAAAAAAAATCCTCTTTATCTGCTAATTTAGAAAACAAACAAAATCAAAAACGTAATAATAACGCTACATGTAAATACCTTTAAATAAGGGATGCAAAAATATTTGAAGGGAAACAATACTTTTATGACTTACAACAATTTTATGCTGATGACAAACAAATATAAAAGTGTGGAAAAACTGGATACTACCATGCGACTTTCAGACCCATAAAAATGTACCGACAACAATGAAAAACTTTGATAGATCATTATGTCATATAAAGATACATTTTTAAAAATAAACATAAAACCGCCGATTATTCTAAAAGAAATTGTCCAAGTAAAACAATTATAAGCATTGGACAAAAAAAGAAAAAAAAATCAGAAAAGCATTGAAAATAAAATTAATTTGTATAAGAAAAGTAGAATTCGACTTTAAACATCACACTCGATCTACTATTTAAGATATGACTAATAACATTTATACCAATACACATAAGTACGATTTTTTTAGGTTTTTTGATGCGACATATCTATCCAAGAATTTAAACGTCAAAAACTTGTCAACCCTCTTTACAAAGTTATCTTTTGATAAATTTTTCTTCTCGGGGTTACAAATTTTGCAATCGTTCTTCCTTTTGAAATAGAAAATTTTATGTTAGTTTGTAAAGGAAAAGTAATTAAATATTCAAACTTAAACATTGAATGCAATGTGTTATTTTAGATACGAATAATAATATTCATACAATTACATAAATCCAATTTTTTGAGATTTTTGATGCACAGTTTTGGGCGTGGCGGATTTTCCCAATCGTCAAAAATGTTCACGGTCAAAAATTTGCCAATCCCATTCTAAAAATAATCTAAACAATATTACTGTGAGCAAATTTCTTCCTTTCAACAAATTTCTTCCTTTTTTGAAACTAAGGTCAATCGAAGAAAAGAAAAAAAGCATCTACTCAAAGAAACGACTCCGGCTGAGAAGGATCTTCTAGATTTTTTGAACGATGACGAAATCGATGAAGAAAAGAAAAAGAAATCTTTAGAAAATGAAATAGAGCTGGACAAATTCGACAACAATGAAGGTGGATACGTAGAAGGTAAGCAAATAAAACATTAAAAAAAAAGGCTGAAAATTTACTTATTAATATTTCAAAATCAACTTTTTTTAATCTCTACTAAGAGTATTTTTTAACGGGGCATTTTAACACTTTTTTGGCATGGGTTCAATTTTTGTGTGAAATTTTTCTTATATTTTTGCCTGCAGCCTTGTTACCCCTATATGTAACTTTTTCTCCTTTTTGAAAAGACCGGTTAGAATATTAAAAAGTAAAAAATCTTCAAATTTATCAATGGGAATCTTATCGATTCATATATGGGAATAAACCAAAATCACTCTTTTTAAAAGCGAAATATTTAAATTCAAATGGTATGATTTGTGGCATTATTTTTTTTTTATATCATTCTACAACAGTGTTTCCCAAAGTGTGGTACGCCTAACCCCAGGGGTACGGGAACAGTTTAGCGGGGGTACGAGTTCTTATGCGGAAATATCTTGCAACAAACGAAAATTTCAAAAAATTTTATTTAAAAATAAAGCTAGCCATGAAAATTTATGATTACGTATTTTTCTATTGGCTATTTTTTTGCAGAGTTAACAGTTAATAATTAATGGTATTAAGAGCCAGCTGTGATTTTTAACTTTAGTGCAATTTTTTTATAGTAAAAAAATGCGTTCATTTTTTTATTAGTGGTACACAGCGTTACGAAAAATTTAAAAAGGGTACATTAAAGTCATAAGTTTCGGAATCACTGTTCTACAAGAATCATTTTATCATTCCGATATTGTTTTATATTTTTTTATAATCCTAACATTTCTCAGCCTGTTTTAATGCTTTATTTTACTTTTCTAAATACAAAAACTGTCTCAAAAAAAGTATAAATCTTTAAGTTACCATTTCTCAAAAAAAAAATCCTGTACATCTTAATAACAGGTGTGAATAGTGTCCTTTTTTACGTTTAGTGACTAGTAATTTTAATTTAAAATTCTTTCAGAAGAAATTATGTTATTCACTTTTTTGAGAAGGAATCACATGACTTTTGATCATGCTTGTGTATTGTCGACCAGTCATCGCCTTATAATTAAATCCATTACTACTAGAATACAAGACGATTATTCGTTTCATTTTTATAGCGTTAAAAAGGTAATCTCTGGAAGGACTGTTTAAGGATCCTTCATAAAAACCTCTTTTCAAAATACTTCATTCGAATCTTTACTAAGCTTAAAACTCAGAAAACGATCCTTGCAAAAATATTTTTTTTTAAAGGCATGATTAATATTCCACTTATTAACATCTTTTAATGCAACATTTTCAAACACATTAAAAATAGGCAACTTTGAACAAAAACAGATTTACGTGGACCCAAAAACTTACAGTAGATTAATTTTAAAGGAGTGAAATTATTTTATTTTGTAACAGTAACCTTTTGTACATAAAATTATAAATTTTCTAGAAATAGAACTTAAGTTTTCGACTTATAATTTTCACGAAATTGCAAACTGCTTTTCACCCAACTCCAAAAACAGGCGTTTAGGGAGAAAGAGAAAAGAAAAAAAAGCTGGATTCGCTTCCAAATATAAAAAAATGGCAGCTAAAATTATTTTTGATAAAAGAATTTTGAAGGACAAAATAAATAGTTTGAGGAAAGAAGAGTTATGATTCTTTTTACAGATCCATGTGCCAAACACAAATGCGGACCAGGAAAAGTGTGTGAAATGGATTCGGATGGAATAGCCCAGTGCAACTGCATCAAGAAATGCCCCGACGCATCCGATTTCAGAAGAAAAGTAAGAATCACTTTGCAATCATTATTTATTGTATACTTTTGCTTTAACTTTCTCGAGTCTCAGAGGAATTCTAAACAAGTTTCAAGTGAATCTTAGAAATAACCACGTTATTAACTGTAGATAGTGACATATTTATAGCATTGTTCAATTGCAAAATAATCCATTTCAGACCTTACGACAATTTCAATGACCTTCTAATCTTTATGACTAAACAGCTCAAAAATTGTCCAACTTAAAAAGTCATTAAAATGTTTCTTCATACCTGTTTAAACGATTCATATATCTCAATTTTAAATATAAACATCGACGAATCCTTTTCCATAAATATTGTATTTCAATCTCACTCACCCTAAATTTATATTCAGATTATTGCTTTCTTATTAAATAAATAAAACTAAAAAAAAAAAATAGGTTGAAAATCTAACAACAACAAAAAAACATATAACAGCATAAGTCTTAAACTTATACAGAGGAAGATTTGAAAATAGATCCCTTGAACGTAATCGATTTTATCAACGACAAAAACCCAATCGAGTTAAACTGACTTGCGTCTGTTAGTTGAGATGATTTTTATTTTATCTATATATACATTTCTCTTACACGGCACCAAAAAAAAGCCTCATTACAACTCCCCGAATGGCAACGTTAAAAAATCGACCAATGATTGCTGCTTAAAATGTCACATGGCAAATGTTACATGAGGTGGCTCAACATATAGCGCTTTTAAAAACGGAAACAATAACCAGAGTGAGCATTATCAGGTTGTTCAATTCAGATTCATGCCCTAAAAACATGATAATATTTAATTTAAACTCAATTAGGAATTAATTAATTAATTGAAGTGAGAATGCTTTAAAAGGCCGCTGTTGAATTGATATTTTTCTACTGGGAGCTACCTAAACGTCTAAAAAACGTTTAAGTGTTTGTATTGAATGCATTGAATTTTTTTATATTTCGCGTTTATTTATGCATTGAATTTTCACGCTTTAAAATGCAGAATATTAGTGAAGCAATATTTGATAATTTATTTTGCTAATATGTTTCTTATTTAGCTAATGTTTTGATTTTTTCACCATGTACAATCTAAATAGCTAATATACTTTTTTAAAAGCCAATAAGAACATTGGTAGAATTCTTCTACATAAGTACAATACTATGTCTTTGATGATAAAATACTATGTCTTTGATGATAAAATACTATGTCTTTGATGATAAAATACTATGTCTTTGATGATAAAATACTATGTCTTTGTGCTAGAACATTGTGTTCATTGGCGAGTGAACCACATAAGATTGCGTAGCAATTCTCGGAGGTTGGCGAGCCTAAGCGAGCAGGAGGCAGAGCCTCCTAGTTTTATTTAATAATCGTAGTTGAACTGCCGACCCAATTTTTTTTGGTTTATTACTAATGTTTAACTCCGTAGCCATGTCATGTTGAACTCAATCCAGAAGACAAGGGAACTCATGGATTAAGTATTGGGAGAAATTGTTTCTTCGAGGAGGACTTTTGGATGGAACTAACCCGCATTTGCGTTACGTAGAGAGGGAAACTGCGAAAACCTCCCACGATGTGCCTGACGCAAGGGGGCTCTAACCCACCATCCGTCTACCACTGAGGATATTGTACGTCAGCACTGTGGTCGGTGCAAGCCGGTTGCGGAATGCGTATTCTAATGATTCAAACCCAGTTCACCTCATTGGAAGGCGAACGCTCTGTCTCCTGAGCCATCACGGCTCAGTCGAGAGAATTAAAAAATAATAATAATAATAATAAAATAGAATACTATATCTGGGGATTTAATCACTTTCATCCAAAAACTTGAACAGCCAACCCATAAGTTGAAACTAAAATTTTTTATAAGCAGCATTTGCTTTTAAACTAATAAAAAACTGATCTCATTCCAGGTGTGCAGCAATCACAATGAAACATGGGATAGTGATTGTGAATTATATCAGATGAGGTGTTTCTGTACAGAGGGAATGGATGGCTGCAAGTTCAACAAATACAAACATGTTCATGTCGATTATTATGGTCCTTGCAAAGGTACTAAACAAGGTTTTTCCTTTTCTAATAAAACAACTTTTTAGCAACTTTTAATTAAGAATATGGAGTGTTTTCAATGTGGAAATATAACAGCAGAAACAGATCTTAATTTGCATTCAAATAAATCTCTATTTTTTTCAATAGATATTTTAAAGCTTATTGCAGGTCATATTTAAGAAACTGAAGGACATAGATTTGTTAATGTTATTTAAGATTTTGGCCAGATTAACAAAAAGTCTATGCATGCATTTCTATGTATTTACTTTTTAAGCATGTACTGGTTGTAGTACAGAAGGTATACATATCTTGTACAAGCATAGGAGGTGAGATCCCTTGTACAAGGGTTCTATCTTCAGTGGTAATTAAAAGCTACACATTGTTGATCTCACTGCCGTTCTATTAGTCTCAAAATTGTAGAGACCTTAAACTACATGATTCCCCTTGGTAAACAACTGGCTGTTGTACGAAGTCATCGATTGTGTGGAACCAAGTGTTTTCTATCTAACTACAAAGTGGTTCAATACTTCACTCATTCATGCAAAGATGAATGTTAGCAAAAGAGATATAACTCTGTAACTAACAGTAAAAATAATTTTCATATTTATGCTGTGAGGGAAGTTTCAAAATTTGTTTAAGACATCATAATTTCAATTAAACCCTTTGACACAGATGAGACACCTTTTCATATTTTTTACTGACGTTCTAATAACAATCAAAAATATTTAAATTTTTTTTTTTCTTTTATAAAAAAAAATATGTCTGATTGGTGGAATTATATTTGTACTAAAATATAAAGTAGTTTGAAATTCTATTTTTTCATTCATATTCAAAAACTTATCAGTAGTTGATTTCGTAAATTAAACAAATTTCAACGATAATTAACTAGCTGTAAATTTGAAAAATTATTGTTCGAAAGTGAGAGGTGTTTGGGGGAAGATTTTACCTTAAAAGACACCGGTGTTTTCTGATGTATTTCATAACCATAAAGAGCTAAAATGTTAAATATAATAATATTCACTTATTATGACCTAAATTAATACAGAAATATGTTTTTTAAAAATCTTGCTTCAATTTCTTTTTTGTAGATATTGGTAAATGTACTGCTGATGAATTAGAAGACTTTCCAAGACGCATGCGAGATTGGCTTTTTAACGTCATGCAAGAACTGGCTCGCAGAGAAGAATTGCATGGCACAACATTAAAACTCGAACAAGAGGCTGAAAAATCACACGACAGGAAGTGGGTCAATGCTGTTATCTGGAAGTTCTGTGATCTAGACGTACATCCTCATGACAGGTAAGAAGGTCTAAACAAAAAAAAAGCATTTAAATGAAGTTGTAGAAACATAGCATAAACATGGCGAATTTCACTCACAGGCATGTTTCAAGACATGAGCTTTTTCCAATCCGAGCACCCCTCATGGCCATGGAACACTGTGTCGCTCCATTCTTGGACAGTTGCGATGTAAATGATGACCACAAAATCTCTTTATTTGAATGGGGAAATTGTCTTGGTCTTAAAGAAAGTAAGTATTTTTAGAATATACTAAGTTTCTTTGAACAAACGAAAATATAGAAAAAAATCCATACTTCTTATAGTTTTAATTTAAAAACATTCGAGTGATAGTGTTCAATTTTAACGAATTTATTAGATTTCAACAATCAATTCTTTTTCTAAGTCCAAGAGAAACTTTTATTTAATGAAGGAATTATTTAAGGTGGTATTTTAACATCAGTTAGAGAGTTAAGATCAGTTAAGAGTTATAATGAAACAAGCAAATATATTGGAAAAATTTAATCTAAGAAAAAAAATGGCTTATTACCAAAACAATCTTAAAATGAAAAAAAAAAAAAAAACATCTAGTTCTAGAAAATCTCAAAATAAATCGTTCTTATGCGAAATATCTTGCAACAAACGAAAGTTACAAAATATTTTATTTAAAAACAAAGCAAGACATGAAAATTTACGTCTTTTTCTGTTGGCTATTTTTTGCAGAGTTAATATTGAGTGGTGTCAACAGCCAGTTGTGATTTTTAACTTTCGAGCAATTTTTTTTATAGTAAAAAATACATTCATTCTTTATTTGTGGTTCACAGCTTTGCGAAAAATTTAGAAAGGGTGCACTTAAGTCATAAGTTTGGGAAACACTGCCTTAAAAGATAGCCAAAAATGTATTTTTTATTCATGTAATAAAAAATTTATTATGATTATTTTTGTAATAAAGAAATAAGAATGGAAAATTAGATATTCTAAATCTGTGATAAATTTTAAAGTAAGAATAATTTTTCTATAAATGAACGTTTATTATATGTGGTAAAACTGTAAAATTTGAAGAACTTATTATTTTTAGTTGGCTTCCTGTCCTGCCAATTTACTTCACTTTTTATACTGGCATGGCAGAGCGTTTTACCAATTTCATGTAAAGTTTGAATTTAATGTTTTTCATATTTTTACTGGAACTCGATTCTTTTTCAGATGAAATCATAGACAAATGTTCTATAATCCACCAAGAATAAATGAAGTGAAAAAAACAATCAAAACCGCCAAGATTTTGAGCTTAATCTTTTCGTATCAAATTCAAAACTTAAGTGATTACATTTTATTAACGTGTAAAAATACAATGCTTTGTGTATTGATAGAAATTTAACACTTGTTTGTGATACCTTTATATTATTGCATGCAATCACTGCCACATTACGAATGACTGTTTGTGTATGTATTTTTCTTTTTATTGTTTAAAAATAAACAACTCTTTTCAGTTTGTTTCATTTATTTAGATCATCTCAATAGGTAACAAAACAGTTTTTTGGGAAGTACAACAATAATATTTCATCAGCACTCAATACAAATCACCCCATAGCTTTAAAAATGTTTATTTTATTCAAATGAAATGACTCACTCATACAAATTCTATACAAAAATGAGAGGAATGAATGGGCAAGTTCTGTGACATAGAGCCTTAAGGTTTCTTCATACCGACTGCAACAACAACAAATCGCATGTTGCCGAGGTTTGACGCATGCGCACTTCTCCCTTTCTCGGGAGCCAATCAGATTTGTTTTAACTCGCTACCCACAATTCCCCTGTGAAGCGAAAATCTTGAATCCATCTTGATCGGATTGTTTACACTTTTGGTAGTTTTCGATAGTTTTGTCCAGGTCATTTAATCGCATTTCTTGGATTAAATTATTAAAATGTCCCTGCTCTTTTCTTTTAAGATTTAACTCTTTCACCCATGAGCGCTGATTTGTTTTCAATAATTGTAGCAACTGAATTCTACGACGCAATAGTAATTTTTTCATTTTTTTCTTATCCATTTTAAAATACACTAATATAAAATAAAAATAACAATTAATAAGTACGTAAAATTAAAATGAATCTTTAAATGAAATTTAGAAATTAAAATGAAAAACAATGTTAATTTTGGCAGATTAGAAGAGATCGTTCGAAGCATCAAAACTTGGAAAATACACGAGAAAAAACAGGAAAACAAGATTCTGAAGAAGAAGAAGAAAAAAAAAAGAGCGCTCGCTGTTAAATGTCTGTTTTTGCGCATGCGCGAACATGGAAACGGGTTTGTTGTATCTTGCGGTGTGAAGGTACTTGAAATCAGGTGCAACAGATTCACTGCAACAGAGGAGAAAAATCGTGTTTCGCATCGTTGTTGCGTTCGGTGTGTAGGCGCCTTAACTGTTGAATTCATTTATTTAAATGCCAAACAGTGAGGATATTCGCCCCCCCCTTTACCCTTTTTATTGCCAACTAAAAATATGACACACACCACTGCACCGATTGTATTTTTACTGTAAATTTTGCATTAAAATAAAATGAAGGAATAGGCATCGGAAAATTCAAGATCTGATGAAGGAAATTTAGATACACCAAATGCAAAGAAGAATACCCTTACAACTTGAGATTTTAAATGCTGCAAAAACCTTTACTCTTTTTATAAACGATTCTTTTGTAATAAAAATTATTACATACCAATTGTAATTGTTTACTGTAAATTTTTCATTAAAGCGAAACTTTAAGAAATAAATATACATTCAAAATCTGATGGGTGCTAGATAAATAGTGCATTGGAATGGATTGAATTTTTGTAAATTGAACACAATTACTTGTGAGATTTTTAATACGTAATTTTATAGTATTTTTTTACATAATTATTTTAAATTTTCAAGAAAACTTTTTTCTAAAATAAAAAGTTATGATACGCGTAAAATGCATAAACTAGTCTAACTATCAAAGATATATCTTGAAAGTAACCCTTAGAGGAATCCATGTTTCAGAACTCACCCAATTAAACGACCACTCTATAATCAGGAGTTTCATCCACGTAACTTGACCGCATGATTTTTCACAACAATAATTTGTGTGGCATAGAATATTATAAGTGTAAAATTTTTGTTGCAGCTGCAGTTGAAAAGGCGTGGTAAGCTTATTCATTTACAGATTTGTGCATATGAAGCAACATTATGTAGCGATAGATATGTTTCCCACTATTGAGTAAAATATTACGACATCATATCCATATGCAAGATAATGTAAACATAAATTAAATTTTTTCCGGAATTTTCATTGCTTAATTTTACAATAATATTTAGGAAGCAGTAATAATTCTAAAAAATATCGTTTCTTATGTATAATTGTTTTGTTCATAAGACTGATGTTAGGAAGAGAGATGGTTTATGATTAGATGGATATGGTTGTTTCAGAAATTAAGAGTAATTTATATGTTGTCACAAAAAGTTTTTTACAGCCAATAACGAAATAAAATTATAATAGTACAGGGTTGCCAACCGCTACGCTTTATAGAGTAGCAGAATTTCTGGTATTTTTGCCAACATTTTAAAAACCTCACTCTTAGAGAGCAGGAAGAAATATAAATCATTTAAATAGAGTGGTGTGGAAAATAACTTTAAATAAAATTTACAAAACAATAAATCACACAAATAACACTTGATGAAATTCCTCCCCCCCCCAAAAAAAAAAAGCCTTGCTGGTATAGTATTTCCCATAACACAACCACAATAAATTAAGAATATACATTTTATTATTTTAAATTTAGAAAAACCAAATTTAAAATTAATAAATTTTTGTGACCACAAACTTCAATCCATTTTGTTTCATGAATAAACAAAACAATTACTTCTCATAGAAAAGAAAACGTTGTCGAGAAAAGAAAAGAAAAATTTAAACCAATAATGCTCGAGATAAAATTTAGACAAACGAAGTCTCAAAAGCTTACCTATAAATTGTTTTAAAAACTGGTCATATCTGTTGGACATCTTTAAATAAAAGTATCCAAATAAATTAAAGCTATCTCCGAGTAGGATTAGTAAAAAAAAAAACTGCATAAAACAAAAAGTAAATGCTTCAATATTACTTGATTCATTTGCTTTATTAATACATAAAAAGTTAATGTCAGCCGACATGTTTCAAGAGCCCATTTTCAAGACTTGACAGATGTGAATGAGAAAAAATAAAAGGTAAAATATAAAAGAGTGGAAAGTCAGGGTAAAATGCATTTCCACACTCTATGGTGGTGAGGAACAAGGAAATCATATGAATCAAACAAGATTCTATGGCATCAATTTTTATTTATTTAAATAAACTGAAATGAAATAATTATTTAAATAAACTAAAATGAAATAATTATTTAAATAAACTAAAATGAAATAATTAACCGATAAAAAAAGGTCCATTTTGACAAAAGGACCTGAATTTTGTTCAACAAAAAAATAAGAATCTTGATCTTTATATCAAAAGTGAAAAAATTTACAATTTTGTATAACTAAACAAACATTGATATTAATTGAAATATTTTTAATTTCATTCCTAAAGAAATCCCGCAGTCGTCGGTCAAAGGGAATCGAGAATGTTAATAGCTCCACAATTTCAGAATCAACTGCACTGCGCATCAGCTGCCTCACAAACCAGCTGGGCAGACTTCAGTCCTTCAAAATGGCTGCTCATTGCCACTGTACCAAGTTCATTCCTTATACAAGCGTTAAAAAATAACCTTAACAGAAATTACACAAAACTATTGAAAAAAGGTTAAAAGAAAATTACCCAAAGCAATGAATAACAAAAACGATTTTTGCTGTATGTTTACAATCTAATAAAAAACATAAGATTATAAAATTTCCTAAAGTCAATTGAAAATATCCTTTCAGTTATTATATTCTTAGGAGATAGAATAATCAAGTTCAGCAAATCTTGTTTTTCCCCTAAACAAAAGAAGAAAAAAAACAAGATTTTTATGAGCTTGGAAAAAAAACAAGATTTTTCCAAACTCAAAGAAAGGATTTTATAAACATTGCAAAACATGTGATGTTACAATTTTTGTTTCATCATATGAATGGAACTATTTCTCTAGGCATATTTAAAAGATTACTTTCAGCGCTTTAAATTGAGAAAAGGTTTTCACTTTCATACATACATTAAAATATCTTGCTATGCTGGATAAATGTTATGAAAATGTAGCTTAGAAAGGTCTGCATGAAAATATTTTGTTTTTACAAAATTCAGGTTGATCATTATGAGCAGAACTATTTGACACATAAAATTTGTTCTTACTACACAAACAGTTGTGAAGAATGCAAATAAAAGTATTTCTAAAGATTTTCTTTCACATTTAATAAAAACAAAATATACACATTGATATATTTAATAACCCAAATATTACAAAAACAGGATACTTCTCATAAAAAATATATAAGTGCAAGAAAAAAACCGTTACATTTTATTAAGAGCTTAACATTTTACAATACAATTTATAGTATCAGAAGTATCTCTATAAATACCAAGTGTGCTTCACAAAATTTTTACTGTTGGGAAATTTAAGAAATTTTGATTAACATTCTGACAATTTCTTTAGGAGATTTTTTAATTTGACAGATACATTGCAAAGTCGCAATAATATGCAAAAATTCATTTTTAGCAATTAAACTGATATTTAACAAAAATTGTTACTGTTGTCAAAGGCAAGTATTTTTTAATTAAAATTGTAAAAAAACGATTCAATTATGAAGATACAAGACTGTACTAAGTCACCAAGATGTATGAAAAAACCACGAAATGCAATGCATACAAAAAAAAAAAAATATTGTAATCAGTAAATCTGAAATTTCATTCAGTAACTTAAAAAATCTCGCTTCACATGCAGAGCCCCCAAGTAAGCAAAGATGTTCATAATGAATATCAATAATGAACAATGAACTTTTGGAAATAACAATAAATATACAAAGCAAGGCTAAGAATAGAAGCTGATAGAGTGTATGATAAGTTATAGTATGTTCCAAATTTATTCTAGTTTTTTAACAAGAGAAGTAGGTCAATATTTCATAAATCAGCAAAACGGAAGTCAAACTATAAACCAAATAACAAAATACTTACATTAAACATTTGCTATATCATAAACAAAAAATATAGTACCAGTTCAATTAAACCTAGTTACCTTCTTTTAAAAAAACTCAATTTAACTAAACTAACATAGCTTTTTTTGTTAACTAGAATTTATAAATCTTTGACGCGCTTATTTTGAAATCGTTTGTTTTGAATTGAGCCACACATTTTTATTCCAAACCCCAAATATGTAATAAAGTAGGGTTAAGAATAAAAATTCATAAATGGCATATTTTACCAAGGTTCTGATTTTTTTCCTGAAACATTTATTAACGATAACAAAATCAAACCAAATATACACTCCATAATAAACCAAATATACCCTAATAACAATAATGATCAATAGTTGAT